CCACGACTGGTTGATTTCATCAACCTTATATCCTATACTTAAAAATTCAACGTACTTAATGACAAATATGCCGCAGTCGCCACTGCAATTGAACAAGAATGAATCAGTTTAGTACTCTGTAAATAAAAACTAAATCTGAAAGATGGAAACAACAACGTTCAAACACTTACCTTACGGACTGTCGCGCTATCGTCGTGTTCCAAACGATCCGCAATCTGTCATGTACATTTATCCCTGCTCGTCTAGCCATCATAGGAACAATTACAGCCACGGACTCCAGGTTTTGCTCCAACTGGCCTTGTGTCAAACATGAATGATCTGGGTCGTACACATATATAGTCGAGTCAGCAAAAACGATCTCCAGCATAACATAGTGTTTATGGATGCACGCTGGAATGTACATATGTGTACAACCCTCCCATGATTTTTCCCCGACACTCGGTGACAGTCCTATCACCCACTCGAGCATATATTCTGGCACCGTGTACTCGTTACCAATATGTGCGAGCGACTGATACTCTATGGTAATGGCACCTAGGAACTCGGTGTTTAATATGACTCGACCATGGACATCAAATGATTTTGGATGTCTTTGAGCTCGATCTCGCAGCAAGTCCATGGCCAGGTCAATGTGCTGCAGCAGGAAACACAAAAAAAGTATGAGTTATTCATTTAATAAACACAAGGTCACATATACATAAAAAACACGAAATGAATAGTTCACTTACATCGTCAGCGAGCCAAACTCCCACAGTGGTGATATCGTGGAACCACTTGTAAGGGTTCGAGACGGTCCTTTGTCCTATCGTGCGGCTAACTCTATAAAAAAGAGGGAAATGTTAAAATAAGCGTAGACGAGTTAGCGTACAGTGCTTTATTAAAATCATACAATACTTACCCGGGGATAATTCTCCTCCACTCTGTCTCGAACGCTTTCCACTTGGCATTATCCATCTCTCTGAATAAGTTCGGGTACGTCCCATCGATGAACGTCCTCCTCTTGGCTTCAGCCGTGAAGGGGGAAACAACATACTGTGACGGCACTTTCAATCTCTTGCAGACCACCTGCTCCGTCTCGTCAACAGTATGTCTCTTACCCTCAATCACGCTGGACGTCCTCTCGACCTCCGGGGCCACCTCCTCCGCCCCTTCTATCGGGGCCTCCCCCTCCATCGCCACCACCTCCGCCCCTCCCGTCGGGGTCGCCCCTCCGTCGCTACCTCCTCCGCCCCTCCCGTTGGGGCCACCCCCTCCGTCGCCACCTCCTCCGTCCCTCCCGTCGGGGCCACCCCCTCCGTAGTCCCCTCTCCTATCCCCATCGGGGCCACCCCCTCCATAGACAACCACAAGGACTCCAATGTCTCATCACGCAAAAAATGTGGGTGACCCTCCTCTCCATCACCATCTCTGCCACCCTCTGGATCATGATCTTCGCCATCCCCTCTGTCCCCCCATCGTCTGCCGGCTAATTCTCCTCTAAGCGTCGCTACTGTATCCTGAAGGTCGACAACAGAAGACTGTAGTATTCCAACATCATGAGATAGATCGTCAACCCTCCCTGTCAACTCTCGTCCCATATCGTCGACCCTCCCTGTCATATAGTTAACCCTCCCTGCCAGATCGTCGACCCTCCCTGTCAACTCTCGTCCCAGATCATCGACCCTCTCCGTCAAATTTCGTCGTAGCGCGCCAACCTCTTCCGCTATAAATCCAGTCAAACGGGCATACAAATCATCACTATGCTCCGAAGACACACGGGGGAGGTGTCTGGAGGGAGGTGATGCCAATGGCGGCGGCGATTGCCCCGGCGGAGGTGATGCCACTAGCGGCGGTGATGCCCTCGACGGAGGTGATGCTAATGGCGTGGACGATACTCTCGGCGGAGATGATGCCAATGGTGGCGGCGATGGTCCCGGCGGAGGTGATCGTCGATCAGCTGGACCGCCCTCCTACATAAATAAAATGAAAAATTATTCAATAAATTTATACGTCGATCATATTCAATAAATTATATTTCATTCACATACCCAATCTCGGTCCAAACTTGGATCAGGCATCTCTTCGTCTGGGGTGTGCGGAACGCCTAAATCCCGCACAAGACCCCGAGCCTCCTCTTCCATCGATGGCGTCAACTCAGGTATGACTTCAAGCTGACATATTGACATTTCAACTATTTAACGATCATGTAAACAAAATTTTAAACTACGTATAATATAAATCACAAATGCATAATACTTACCTGAGGATCGTCGATGAGGGCCGATAACTGCTTCCCAGTGGGACATCCCTCCGCTCGCGATGATCTCCAATGATGCATTCGAGGGCAGTGTGTCTTCCCTCGCTGCGCAAAGCGGGCCCCCAGTACAGGAACTGTCTCATACACCCAAATCTGTAACATATACACTTATTAAGCATCAATGTAATACACTAAAACTTTAACTTTGATTATATTAAACATTTACCTGCACCGCTAACGTCAATCCATATGTATCGTATTTACGCATCGACCCCCTGGGCCTCGAGTGCGATCTGGTGAACACATGTACGGTGTCTTCGTAGCATCTTCGGCCTCACGGATAGTTGTTGAACGCATCGATGTCGTCAACAACTTGCAAATGAAAAATGTCGATGGCAGTCTTCTTGTGATGACACCTCATCACACTCTCGAGGATGTAGACCAGCCCAAATTTCAATCTATCTAGCATATGGTCACACCCCCTGATCGCGACCATCAAGTCGGGTAGAAGCACCGACCCATGTCCCTGGAAGAACGTCTCGTACAGCCTACTGCTTCTCTCCATGGCTGCATCGTCGCCCGTAATCCTCAGTCCAGTGATCAATGTAAACTCAAACATCGAGAAACTGACGACTTTGCCCCCGAGGTCGAATTGAAGGGAATCGCCGTCGACTGGCCTCAGAAGCCGACATAGAAGTGCATCAATGATCTGTCCTGAGTACTGCACCTCTTGCAACTGGTACAGTGGCCACAAGAAGGACTGTCGTAGCATATCTCCGTGCTGATTATCGAGCAGCTCCAACATAGCAGTAAAACTCTCAAAGCTACTGTTCCAAGTAGCTTTCCCCGACATCCATCTCAACTCTGCATCTAAATGATACTCCATCCTGTAAAAATTCAAATGTTATAGCATTGAACAAGAGATAACAAAAGAAAGCATAATCTCACAAAATCAAGGTAACCGAACTCTAACTACCATACAATCACAAATATTACATTTGCAAAATATATTTACAAAAAACAACAAATCAAATTAAATGTATTGTCAAAAAAATTAAAGAATATAAATATTATTTAAATAAATTGAAAAAAATCAAAGATTTTCATAAAAGAACAATAAAAGAAACAAAACAAATTGTTAATTTCGAACAATATTATGTATTCAATTATTAAATTATATAAAAAAGGAAATTATAAAAATTAAATAATTAAATAAAATAATTATTATTTGAAAAATATATTTACAAACAAAAGATTTCAAATTAAATACATTTTCGAAAAATGTAAAGACTATTTGTATTATTTAAATAAATTTGAAAAAATAAATTAAAGATTATTCCATAAAAAGAAAAAAGAACAACACAAAATTGTTAATTTTAGAATATTTCAATTATTAAATTATATAAAAGACAAATATAAAAATTAAATAAATAATTACTTTACATTTTCGAAAAATGTAAAGACTATTTGTATTATTTACATAAATTTGAAAAAATAAATTAAAGATTATTTCATAAAAAAAAAAGGAACAACACAAAATTGTTAATTTTAGAATATTTCAATTATTAAATTATATAAAAGACAAATATAAAAATTAAATAAATAATTACTTTACATTTTCGAAAAATGTAAAGACCATTCATATTATTTAAATAAATTTGAAAAAATAAACTAAAGATTATTTATTTAAAAAAAAAAGGAACAACACAAAATTGTTAATTTTAGAATATTTCAATTATTAAATTATATAAAAGACAAATATAAAAATTAAATAAATAATTACTTTACCTTTTTTTTTTAAATTTAGACTATTCATATTATTTAAATAAATTTAAAAAAATAAATTAAAGATAATTTCATAAAAAAAATAGAATTAACATTGTTAATTTTATAATATTTCAATTATTAAATGATATAAAAGACAAATATAAAAATTAAATAAATTTGAACTAAAAAATTAAAGATAATTTCATAAAAAAAAAATTTGAAAAAATAAATTAAAGATAATTTCATAAAAGAAATAATTAACATTGTTAATTTTACAATATTTCAATTATTATATTAAATTGACAATGATAAAAAAATTAAATAAATAAATAACATAATTACTATTTAATCAAATAAAAAATTTAATTAATTACCAAAATTATAAAAAAATTTAAAATTAAATATTTAATTTGGGCCGGTTCACCGGCCCAGACTGCCCGACTGTTAACAGTCTGGGCCGACGGTTAACAGTCGGCCCAGACTGTTAACAGTCGTTTAAACGACTGTTAACGAGCCGACGGTCGGGAACGATTGGAAACCGTCATTCCCGACCACTTAGCTCCAAAAAATGCCAAAAATTCGCATTTTTCACACTCCAGCATGCCCACAATCTAACTACTCATGCTCATGGATCTAATTTAAACCAAAATTACTAAGGAAAGTGCTATACTATGAAAACCATTCGAACTGGAGAAAAGATCAGAAAACTAACCGGTTCTTTTATTTCCATTGTAGATGATGGTCGTTGATTGCGACGTTGGTGTAACTCCGATGGTTGGTCGGTCGAATTTTTGCATTGGTCGGTCGGCGGTCGGTGAGAGATTTTCAAACAGTCTGAAGGATAAAATGGGCTTTTACTGTGAAGTTTTTTTTAACTTAATTTATTTTTTTAATTCATTTAATGGGTCAAAGGCCAATGTCAAATTTTACTACAGTGAGCCATTTTTGTGTATTTCCTCCTATTATACTCCATTTCTTTTTTGGGTTGTCTATTTTAGTGTTCATGGTGAGTTTTCCAAATCAAGAAAGAGATAAGGTTTTTATTCCCCTGTGCTTTTCCCTTAATCATTTGCTCTTTGATTGAAACTCAAGCTCACAAGTAGAATATATCCATTTATTTAGCTCAATTTTCTTGGAAATCAAATTAGGGTTTCTAATACCCACAAAGCTTTCATCTTTTTTCTCCCTTATTTGCACAGATCTGAGGAAACCATCACAGTTTTTGTATGTGTTTTCAACAGAATCCCTTTCTATTTTTGGAAGCCCTTTTCGGTTTCTGATTTTCCTATTTTGGCTACTGTTTTCTGACACTTGGATTAAGCCCTTAATCTTTTTTTTTTTTCCTTTTGTATCTACAACGTTTATTGAAGTAAATATAAATATAATTTATACACATATAAACAAAATGGTGAGAGGGAAAACTCAGATGAAAAGGATCGAAAATGCCACAAGCAGGCAAGTGACTTTTTCCAAGCGCAGAAGTGGGCTGCTCAAGAAGGCCTTTGAACTTTCAGTTCTTTGTGATGCTGAAGTTGCAGTTATTATCTTCTCTCCCAAAGGAAAGCTCTATGAATTCTCAAGTTCCAGGTATATTTTATTTTAATGCTTCTAATATACAGTTTAAGCACTAAAAATAAAATGTTTATGCTGAATCTTTGTTATCTGGCAATGTAGATTTGTACCGTACATATACTTATTTTACTATACATGAAATAGTAATTTATACATTGGATGCAAGTTGAGATTTTGATTATTTGGATGTGTCAAACAAGTACAATGACCAGGCTTTATTTCTGTGAAAGGAGTACTCTTTATCTTGTTTCTTGCTTTATATGTCTGAAATTTAATCTTACCTGCAGATCTGTATACAATGCTAATCTCTCCGTTGATTTTGGAGATTTTTTATTCTTTTTTCAAACATAATGAAACTATATATACACCTACACAATCGGGAAATTTCATGAAATTAGTACACTTACATAATAAGTAATTTATTATTTTTATGATTTTATGCTTAAGTTATACTCCATTGAAGAAACCATTACAGGAAATTATAGTACTCTATAATCTATTCAAGGCTTTAGTATTTTGTCAATAAAAACCATAGTCGGCAGGGATAGACTATTGTCAATAATTTAAGAGTGCAGTTCGGACCGTTTGGTAGAATATACATACAACCTTTTAAGTTTTCATAGTGTTTTGATAATATCAAAGCATTGTCTTGTCAAAGGTCCATTGATACGAAAATGGGTTAGGTCACTCACCTGAAAGAAAAGGAGGATCATGATGACAATGTAGTCACGGATTGAAATGTTTATCTTAAAGCCCCCATCCACTTTGAACTGGTCCTTGTTTTCTGCTAAACATTAGTTCATTTATTTTTGGCAGAAGAATACTATTTATGGTACTGTGACAAGACCCTTATAAAATCCACATTCCACAAGGATAAGTTTGATGTGCCAGAAGGGGACTAGAGATCGAAATAAACGAGTGGCTTTCTTTTGCTAAGTGTATGTAGTATACTTTTGATACGGTTTGAGTACAAGAGATGCTGATTCTATTTCTATCTCTATGCATTTTGAAGCTGTTGAATAAATTTCTATTAGGACAAGATCATGTGTTCCAATCCTAAAACACAACAAGCTGAATAAATTGAATTTGTAATTTTCAAGATTCCGTACCTCATTTTAGTTGTTGGGTCCTGCACTGAAAAGTGAAATTGTTCTTCACCTTTTTGGATAATATTATATGTTAAGTATAATTAGAGGAAATATATATGTACTGTATTGTGTACGAAATGCCATATAAATAATGAGTTGACTCTTGTTGTTCAGCTTGTTGTACTCCCTAATTAATTATTGACACGATGTGTCAATAATTAATTAGACACGTTAATTTAAAATAAAGTGTCAATAATTAATTAGACACGTTAATTTAAAATAAAGTGTCAATAATTAATTGGGTGGATAGCAAGTTGGACATAAAAAATTGAACATCAAATCTTAACTCATAAATAATTATACTTTTGTGAAAAAGAACAGCTTGAATGCAATTTAAAACGAATGGGAGGCTATAATAGATGGATAAAGGGACTAGTAAGTTGAATCCATTAGTATGTCGCAGGATGTGAATGTATGTATCTAGGTATGAATGCTTGTAATGTAAACTATAATTAAGTATTACCATTCTTTAATTTCTCTATCTGTTATGTTCAACTATACAAATTTTTAACTTCTCTATCTGTTTATATTCAACTTTAAATGCACTTGAGAAGATAATTCTGGGGTATAACTTGAACAGTTTTTGATACCTTGTTTTATTTATTATAGCTCCCTATATATGCTGTTTGGTTTTTTATTTTGAGTTCGTTGTTTGCTCACTATGTTTAATTGTGAGTGAACTTTTAATGAACATATTAAGCCTCCATTTGTTTCCCATTTTTGGAAGAATGAGAATGAAAAATATAACCGTTACAAGTCCCATACAAGAGATAGAAATTCAGATTTGATGGCTTGATGTGATAGGTAACGGTCATATTTTTTATTTATTGAAGAAATAATGAGAACCAAACAGGGGCTAAATCTTTATAACTGTAATGAATTTGTGTTCTGATTTAAATTAGAGAATGACTATCAGATGCATCAATCATGTGATGTGAATTGAATGTGGCCCCAAGAACTTCTCAATTAGCTTAATTAATTTTAGTCCATTTTACTTGAGAAAACTAAAATTTTCCTCGTGATTTTCAATTCATTCAAAATTACCCCCTTTTCTTCAAACTTGATCTGTAGCAAGTTTTTTCATGTGAAATGACCATTGCACTCTTAGTTCAAAAAATAGGAGCATACATGATACATTATCACAAGTAGTTATTTCTGATTTTCCTAGACAACTTAGATTCGTGATGGAAATTAGGGTTTCTTAGAGATAGAACAATAGGAAGATAATAGGATATATGGAATGGGATAAACTCATTGAATGCAATATATTTTACAACTGTAATAAACATGAATCTGATATTGCTGCGGAAGTAACATACTATTGGAGGAACCTACATATAAGGCCTATGCTGACTTTATAAAATGAAGGTGTCCCAAAAGTAATAAGGAAATGAGAATGATAATAATCTTCAAAATGAAATTATGAAATATTTGATGATATGAGAATATACCCTTCATATATAAGCAATATCATGATAAAGTTTGTTAATAAAGCCAGTTTGAAGGGATCTAGCATTTCTATCAATACACGTACAATTTATAGATTTCGTCAATTCATTTATTTAACAATTCAAGAACCCGTGACCACATGTATCTAATATTCAAATGTTGAAAAAAATAATTAGTTGCAGTAGTGATCAGAACAATATAATGCAGAAATATAAAACTTATCGTCCGATCGAGTCTCGTGACAGCACGATGTCCTAAAGTGAAATTGCCCGTCGATAATTGCTGCGACCTCCGTGGACAATCACTCTCAGGATACAACGATCGTAAACCACTTGTGCAGCAATCACGAATAATTTCTCTAGAACTCTCAATTGTACTCTAGAATATATGTAAAAACCTGAATATAAGAAATTCAGAATATGAGAAGGAGGATTGATGCAAGATGGTTTTTCTATTTTCTTTTTTGTGCGTCTTTTTCCCAAAACGGGATATGGGTTTATATAGGCAAGATGGAAGTAACAGTTTTCACCATGTTAATGCAGAATTTTAATGACTGAGTAGTGGGTGTTTTAATGGCTGTTAGTGGGTTGTTACAAAAATAAACACTCAAAAAATACTAGCTAGTTTTATCCTTTAAATAAAAAAAAAATATTTATTTTAGTCAAGGAAGAAGCCCAAGAGCCCCAATCAAGACATTTTATTTTAATATCTGCGTGAGGAGTGACTCGAACCCCCTGACGTCCCACACAGAAGCTACATTTTCCACCACTTTGGCACTTTATCTAATTTGATTATTTCTTTCACATTTTATATTTATACCATAAATATATAACAATCCCCCACATGAAAGAAATAAGATAAATGAAAATATTACTCCGGAGTACGGTAGAAATCATGCAGGCTTAGGTGTCTATCGATTTGAACCTTGGCTTTGTATATTCTATCGAGCTTACTAACTGTAGAGTAAACTATGTCTTGAACTCTACAATTATAGTTGCAAACTGAGACAATAGAACACACACATGATTTCTAGAACAGTCATTGAGTTCTCGCGGTTGTGTTCATTTCGGCCGTGAGCTTTCCCAATTTCTTTGATGCTCTAGAGAATTCGCCTCAATTCTCATAGGAAGCAGCCCCACTTCCACACTCAAATAGGTGCTACTATCAAGGGTGCACTGTATTTAAACATCCCACTGAATATTAGCTATAATAAGCATTAAGAGGATGAGCTCATCCTCTAATCAATACAGTTGGTACTACGCATCATAGGGAGGGGTTTGGAATAAATCCAATGTAGTACCCCCACATACCACTCCAATAACTTTGTTGTCCCATTGAACCTTGACCATGGGATCTCCAATTGCAAGGTTGGGTTTCCATTATAGGTGATCTAATAAATAATAGGCTTTAGCCCCATTCCCCTCGATGTTTGTTAAATTAGCTCTTTAGCCAATCCTTTTGGTTAATGGGTCAGCAATGTTATCACTTAACTTCACATAGTCAATAGCTATAATTTCATCCTTAAGCAGCTGACGCACAGTATTGTGCCTTCTACGAATATGTCTAGACTTTCCATTGTAGGATGAATTTTGAGCTCTTGAGATAGCTGCTTGACTGTCACAATGTATTGAAATAGTTGGAAATGGTTTAGACCACAAAGGAACATGCATAAGAAAATTCCTTAACCATTCAGCCTCCTCACCTGCCTTATCTAAAGCTATGAACTCAGATTCCATAGTAGATCTAGCAATCCAGGTTTGCTTAGTGGATTTTCAGGAGACAGCACCGCCTGCTAATGTAAATACATATCCACTTGTAGATTTACTTTCATTGGTATCGAAAATCCAATTAGCATCACAATATCCCTCAAGTATAGCAGGAAATTTGGTATAATGTATTCCCCAGTCTAAAGTGTATCTCAAATATCTTAAGACTCGAATAAGAGCATCCCAATGTTCATTGTTAGAATTACTAGTATACCTGCTAAGTCTACCGACAGCATATGCTATATCAGGTCTTGTACAGTTCATGAGATACATGAGACTGCCGATTACTTTAGCATACTCTAAAGCGGAAACGCTAGGACCTGAATGTTTTCTCAAATGACGGCTTGCATCATAAGGTGTTTTAGCAGGAATACAGTTGTATTGATTAAACTTCTTAAGCACCTTTTCTACATAATGTGACTGGGTCAAAATAATTCCTTCAGAATGTTTTACTATTTTGATTTCTAGAATAACATCAGCAACACCCAAATCTTTTATTTCAAAGTGCTTGTTCAGAAACTGCTTAGTTTTATTAACCACATCTAAACTTGTTCCCATAATCAGCATATCGTCAACATATAAGCAAATTATCACACCACAATTATTTTCAAATTTGCTATATATGCATTTATCTGCTTCATTTATCACATAA